AACGTACCAACAAATAGCAATAAATAATTATACAGCTCCTTTAAACATTAATCTGGATAAATATTTCCTAGTTAGGCATTGAGTACCTTGTACACCTTTTGAGGAAATGAGTCCTGAATAACTCTCTAACAGCTCAGACACTAGCCCTATATTCTCAGTAAAAAAATCTAATATCAAATAGCAGATAAGTTACATGTACTTACTGGAGATTTGTAATATAGTAATTCGCCTCCTTTAAGGACAAACCACCGTCGTTTCCAGGTCTTTACTTTACCACCCATTTTTAACAGATATCCAGATTTTTCCAAAGGTTCCTGATTGTTTAGAAGTTAGATAAAAAGTAGTCAGATACACATATATACCTATATCCCTCAGAAATACGTAAAAACACACACAGATATATTAATGACTTAAAAGAATGGTAAATAATAATTATAGTATATGATGAGACTTTTAGTCCAACAACAAAAATTTTACAAGCATCAATTAACACAAATGCCGTGCACATGGGGTAACTAATTAACATCCCTATTTACAGTTGTAGTACATGATTTGCCCCAAACTATACAAAAGAATGAAGATTATGATGATTTCTGATTTTACTTTCTAATTAGTTATATTAAACTAGGAACAAAATGAATATAAAATAAATATATGTTTTTTCCCAACTTCAGGGCCTAACCTACAGACTAGATAAAGAGCACTGTAATTCAGAGCTCCTCGCAGACAAACTTTTAATGTGTATACCTGTAGAACAGAGTTCACAGTTTTTGCTCTGTGAAGAAAGCTTAAAACAATTTTCATCACCAGGCAGTCAATCCACTTGTATGTTAAGGCACTAACTACTAACAGAAGCAATTTAAAAACTCCTGGGGACTGACCAATACCCCATAATGGTTTGGTTTCTTTGACCTGTCCTTGCATCTTATGCTACTTATGATTTCTTTGATTTCCACTGATAACTTCACCTCCTTCTTGGAATGCCCTTCTACTTCCCTGAATATTCAAATAATAATTTTAATCTGCTTTTAGTTTTTCATGTGCAATCTGATACCAGACCTGGTTTCGAGAAAGGAAATCTTAAATACTTTGAATTCTTTTCTGGAGTCGTCAACCTATTTTCCTTTATTATATAGAAAGCTCACAATTACCCTCCGTTTTCCTTCAGTAATTACAGTCTTACATAGTTAACTTATTGTTGGTATGTTTTGTTATTTGTACTCATAAGGCAGTCTGTGAGTCAACAAGATTGAATATAAAGATATAAATATACATACAGCACCACGGGGGGACTTCTTCACAGAACTTCAGTACTCACATTTTTTCCATTATCACTAGATGAGGACGAGGTCTTAGGAAGTTTCTGCTCTGGCTCTGAATAGTCTGTATCTACTGAATATGCATCTGGAGGAATAGCATAGTCGCTTTCCGAGGTCACAGAAGACAGAGACGCACCTGTGGTAAATGAAGAAAGATAATTCTTTATATATTTTTTTATTACACTAGAAACAACTGAGGTCAGAACACCCATGCAGAAAGAATATCTGAATAGGATCTGCAGGCAAACACAAGTATCAACATAAATCTATCAGGAACCAAGGACTTTTTAAAATATCAGCACACTGAACTATTAGCACAGTGCTAATATCTGATTCTCATTCATAATTAAACAGTTTAAGTCCCTTGTGATTAAAATAACAAATAAATGTCTTCTATATATTATGATCTTCTGTTATATTACCACAGCTATTTTAAGGTGGGAATTAGTGCCATGCATCATACTCATTCTCTAGAAAACACAAACAGGATTTTTAATTAAACTAAGCAGCTTTCCCCCTCCCCTTTCTATCATTCGCTCTAGTATCTGGATTTCTTATGCAACTGCTTACGTATACTAAAAAGCCATGCTCAAGATTTCTGTTGAAGCTGTAGGTGACTGTATTTTGCAATGAGTATGAATTTTTATCCTGAGGTTTTCTAAAAATTTGAATTCCAGATTTCAGGTGGTTTTTAGTGTTTATTAGCTTTACTGTTGAAAAAAATGCACACTGATTTCAATTCTAGTGAAACAGCAATAAAAGTTCAAACCTCTCCCTCACTCATCATAGAAATATTTTCATATATATGAATATGTCCTTTTGTAAGGACTAGTGTTGTTACTTTGCAAGGTTATACTCTCCAAGATTGAAATGAAGAGGCCTTGTTTCCTTTGTTTCAATAATTTCCAAACTAATTTGCCAATTTTATTTAAAAAAAAAAGCTTTTCTCATTTATTGCTTTGTAAGCACCTGGGCTTTCAGAGTGGGTACTTCTCTTCTCATGTAGGATCTTTAACAACAAAAGTGCAGCAAATTAATTATGCTTCTGGTGAAATGTGTGACTGCCTAGATTTTTAAACAATGTGATCTCAACAAAGATAAGTACGTATATGTTTTGTGGTTAAGAAAGGTTTCCACACATGAAACAATGAAAGGACAGTTTTATGGGAAGAAAGCACAAACTAAAGGAATGGTTCCACTTTACAGGCACGGATATAAATTGTACGTGAAACCAGATTTTAAATTACCCAATTTGGCTTTCCTGTTGTGTGAGCATGTAACATGAGATGTGTCTGCAGCCATGACATTGGTTTTCAGTCAGCAAGATGGAGCTGCTGAGAAGCAGGAACTATGGGTCCTTTTCACATTAATGTAGCAAAACTTTAACTGCATCACTGGAAACAGGACTGGACTCCACATGAGGCTGGCACTGGGAAACTCCGACTGGACCAGCGGCTCTGTCAACCTGCTCCAGGCTGGTTGAATGGAGCTCCTGCTAACTGGGATTTTTATATGTATAATACAGACTACTGAATCATGTTATTTTACATTTCTGTAGTGGATGGTCTTAACATTTGCCCTCACAGGAATCTTAAGTCTCCTTTGGTCCATCCAGTGAAGAAATACTTGCAGGGATATAAGACTGATAATGTCACCCCATGAGGAAGCATTGTATCTTTCAATGTAATGAAGCACATTATTTCCATTCTGCAGATGGAAAACACACAGTTACCTAGAACTGTGAGATTTGTCTTCCACAAAACAGAGCACATTACTGGATTCAAGTGTTGTAACTAAATCTTTGCACGGGACCTTGAGACAATCACTGTAAAAATGGAAGAAGTCTCTTATTACATGAAGTGACAGAACCAAATAATCTGATAAGGAAACTTTTCCACCTGCTTTCTTATCACGTGAAAATTGTTTTATAAACTTGAATATATGTGGGTTTTTTTTCTGATGGCAATTAGTTTTTTTCTACATAGTTTTTACTTATCTACAGTTAAAGATCACAGGAAGCCCTTGGCATGACAGAGTACAGATAGAATGGTGTTTCTTGCTTTAAATGTACAAGTCACTTTTCCCCGAAAACAGCCAGCTACCAGATTAATGCCTTAAAAAGACATCTATAACAACAGCAATAAAAAAAAGCCATGTGCAACAGTCCTTTCTCCTGCTTGAATATTAGATCTAGGCTTTGAGAGCTGAGATAAAAGCCTAGATTTAAGATGTCCACACTGTTTAAGGAAGAAATCAGTTTCTAAGAAGATCGTGTAAACTGCCTAGTTTTCCAAACTTCCCAGAAGTTACTTGTCTTATGGTTTTGCCTACCTCGTTTCATAGCCCGAGGACTACCTGGACCACTTCTGCTTCGAGAATCAGACTCAGAAGTCCTTGAGCTGGACCGAGAGCTGTCTTCTTCCTCTGATCCCGATGACTCATCTATAAATGGGCTGTTGCTTATTTGAGTTGCTTTCTGCATAAATGAACACAACATTCTTTGATATTTTGCATAAAGGGTATCAGTCATTTCCTTCATACTGAGGCAGAGCTCTTTTGGCTTCATAATATTCAAAGCTGTTTCTTGCTTGGTTTGTGAGTTTTGGCACACAAATATTAACATGAAACTGAATTCCCTCTGCTGTCTTTATGGTCAAACACACCCACACTTCAAAACAGAAACCTGAGGTAGCTCAAGGCATGGGTCTTTCCAAAGCACAAAAGACTGTCAGAAACAAACAATGCTGTGATTACTTACTGCTGGTTATGTGACTAGAAACAGCTTTGGCACTGACACAAAGAATTTCTACATACACATGCTTTTAATTATGACACTGAACACCATGTGGTTCTGTTTAATAATTAGCAAGCCTTTGGAAAAAATCAGCAAGGAACCTAAGAAGAACTGACCTAGGCTAGTAACATTCCATAAGCAGTATTTTTTTCCCCAGCTATTTGACATTTCTATTACTTCTGGGGTTCTGTGATCTCTAAACATCAACTTACAACATATTTGGCATGGTAGTATTAAATGTAAAACAGGAAGTTCCTGGATGTGAAGCCCAATGGTATTTAAAAATTTCCTTTAAACAGTAATACAGTTACCCCTTTCAAAGTGGTATAGACAGGAGTGGTCATGTTCTTATATATCAGAGATGTATATAATCCGGATACGGAGCATGAAGTTAGTGAAACAGCACCTAAAAAAGCAACATATTCTATAAATTACCTTCTTAATTTACCCCTCAATTAACCAAATTCAAATGTAATTTTTTTTTGTGTTGTTTAACTGCTATAAAAAGCAAACTAACTCCCGAACAGTTTTAGATGGGAGATTTATAACTTTTTAGAATTTACAATGGTTTTAAGAAGCATAAATAAAATTGCAATCATGAACACAAACCTTTTTTAAATTGGAAGTATAAGCTCTTACCTTAGTACCTGTTATAGAATCTTCAAAAAGAATTGCAAAGTAAACTGGAGTGAACAATGTACAAATTCAGCACAAAATCAAGAGGTAAGGTGGACTATGGAAAAAGAACCAATAGTCTTCTAGGTTTTAAATAGCTGATAACTAAATCTTCATAAAATTATTTTAGAAGTCCTTGCTTACACATCACCATAAGAATAGAATTTTTTTTGATGAGACAGTGAACAACTAAACCACTTACTTTTATTACGAGATTCCAGGGTGAAAGCTTCAGACATCCTTAAACCAGATTTGGCTACAGCATAAATTCTGCTTTCCTATACAAGCAGAATGGATTTGATGGTAGATAATTAAAACACAACAATTACCTTTCTTCTGTTTAGCCTCCTAGTCTTTGTGCTAGTGCAACTGTGTGCTAAAATGGTTCACAAAATGACATCATCAACAGCAGCTGAAAAATGCATCCTTCTTTTACATGCCATCCCCATCATATTCATAGTCTGTTTCAACATTGCCCTGCAGGTAACTTACTTTTAAAAATACTATTATCAGGTGCCAAAGAACCTATAGCGAGAATGTTTTTTAATGGAAGATTGTGTGTTAAGAACAGAGAAATGACATTAAAAGACAGTTTTTCAACCATTTTGTGTTAGAAGACTACAATAAGAAAATCTATAATGAAAAACATGCACTAAAATATATACATAGAAAACCTGTTAATGCATTATTCATCTCTGAATCATTAATAAATCTCTTGACACTGGAACCACAGAATCAGTGAGTCTTGACACAGTTAATTTTGGATTTTCTGTAAGACTTATTAATATCTATTTTAATATCCTGACTGATGGCTTTAAAATTTTATGTGGAAATGTGATCAGTAATTTGTGTAATCTGTAGTTGTCTTCTGTCAACCTAATTGTCTAGATTGTGAGTGGTAGAGTGGTTACAGCAAGGGCACTGACACCAGCATTCTTAGGCTGTGTTGGCGTTCAGATAAATAAATAAATGCAGTCACAAGCATTACATCTTTTGATACACACACTCAAAAGGACATAAGCAACTTGGATGTGATGTGAAAAAAATTGGTCTTATCTACAAAATAGTGACTTATTCAATGGCAGAAATACTGTGCTTAAAATAAAACGTGCTTCTGAGTTTGTAGAGTTAATTCCGCTGAAGGTAATGCCCAGTCTTGTCATTAAGCAGAGAATAAGAAAAATATGAGGCAATAAAAATCTCAGAAGAGAGGCATGAAAATAAGTTAGCTTCACCAGTTGGAAAGATATCCATAATCACACTTACCCAGGAAGGAAATCGATGTAATGGAGGGGTTGGAGGTTTGTTGCTAGCACCCTTTTTTGTCATTTCACAAGGTTCCTGGACTTCAGCATTTTGTGCTTCAGTGCAGTCATAAGTAAACACTCCTTCATCACAGCCAATCTCCATTTTCTCGAAAATATCAGTATCTTCTCCATCCACCAGATCTATGTCTGTTTCCTGAGGTCTCCATGGACGTATCATGCTTATGGCATTTCTATTTCTACCAAACATTCTGTCAGAACTCAGCTGGGGCTGACTTAGGTGTTTCTTTGCTAACGGTGAATTCAGACTAAAAACATTAGGAGTCCGTAACTTAGGAGGTGGCAAATTTGAGGGAGAATTTGATGGAGTTGTGCATTGAGAACCTGCAGAAGATGCTAGAATTGGGTGTCTGGGTGTCAGAGCAGGGGTTAAAATTGGACTTGGGGTATTTGCTTCACTGGATGAGGATGAATAATCTAGCCTCTGAGATTGAAATTTCTTATTCAGTTCATCTGAAGAACTATCTTGGTCTTTCTTTTTACTTGTGAAGTCAGAGTTGCACTTTCCACCCGGATTGTTCTGGCCTTTTCTTTGGGATCCTTGCTGCCAGGAGTATAACTTCTTTTGCTGAGTCCTCTTAACACCAAAACTCTCTTCTTCAAATAGAGAACTACTGTCATCAGATGCTGTCAAATACATTTCACTTCCCACTCTACTGTACCTTGCATTCTCTTCAGATGTGTGGCTTGAAAGAGTCGATGCACACCTGGATTTCAGTCCTTTATTGTCTCCTCCATCCTCATCTGAGCTCCAGTCACTCCCGGTAGTGCACGAGTTCTTTGACATGTCACTGTCTATATCTTTGGATGAACAGCTTGTTCTCACAATTTTTTTCTGCTCTGAACCAGAGGAACTTTGTTGCAATGACTTCTGACCTTTATTTGTCTCATGTACAGGACTATCAAAGGTAGTTTCCAGGATATCCTTCTCTAGAGGAGAAATATAATGAACATGAGAAAATTACTTTAGCAAACTTGACTGATAAAGGGTTTAGTCATCGTGTCTGAGAATAGTAAGTAGGTAATAATTTCAAATGTGTAAGCGTATTTAAGATTTTTAATACTGTAAATAATAAACACTAAGAACATTTAAAAATTTTTTAATGTGACTGAAGTTGCAATTATGTTTGCCAAAAAAATGTAATAAACATTACTCAAAGTTCTAGCTGAACTACAAATGGCGATAAATGTAAAGATAAGCAGACTGGAGCCATATTTTAAAGTAACCATAAATGGACGAAAACAAACAAACAAAGAAAAACAACAAAAAGCTGAAGACTTAAAAGGGCATACAAATTTAGCTGCTTTATTAAATCTAGGGAAAATTCGAAATTAATAAAAGCTTGTCAGAAAAGATTTGCATTAACAAATTGAGTATTCTGAGCATTTCTACAGTATGTATCCACATAAATTTCTTCTGCAAGTTATTATTGTATTCACAGTGGTGAATGCTTAGGATAAGGATATACAAGAGAGGCTCATGGAAAATACTTAAGGAAAGATGCTGTATTAAAATAGCTTTGTTTCTGCTGTTCACTTTTACCTGGTTTTGCAAGAGAGAGCTATAGCTTGCAACGCGTTAGTAAGGCCTGCATGCTGTTGAGTTAAAACAGATGCAAGAACTAGGCTTTTTCTACACAGACACTTGGGAAGGTTAATATTAAATAGCTGTATGAAGTTAAATTGGATTGGGTAAGCCAAAGATTTTGATTTAGTCCACTTGAAAGTAAGGAAGTCCCCAAAGTTGATCTGTTTCAATCTAGGCAGGCCTAAGGTTCTATTTTTTATCCTTTTGCTTAAAAAATTACTCTTACTTCAATTCCCTCATCTATAAAAATGTAAATAATAATACATAGCCATCTTTATAATGAATTTGATGTAATATAAATACACAAACTATTCAGTTTCTGAGTTTTCAATTTCTGATTTTCTACGGACCTCAACTTGCCATTTTAGATACCACGACTAACTGTGGAGAAAACACTGAGGTCATAAATAGCACTGTGGGATTCAAGTAGAGGACCAGAGCAACAGTCTCCTTCCTGAGCTTTTGTTTTCTTAAGGAAAGTAGCAAACTGTAATGGACTTGTTCATGCCTGTAACAGCATGACAGCATGCCAATGGCAGTACCATACATCTGGGTTTGTCAGGAAAATTGTGTGAACTGATCTCCTTCTTCAGACAGGAAACCCTGCTGCTCTCTTCAGTTTCTTCTGACCTTCATCATACTGCTGAAAAATTACTGAGTTGATCTTGTTGAGTTAGGGCATAAAACTAACACTTTGACACCAGTGATAGCATAGCAAAAGCATACAGAAACTGGATTTAGGTGAGACTCTGCCCTATGCAGGCATAAACACATAACAGCTTTGCCTGGTGGACTGGCAGCCTTAAACTCCTTATGCTACTATGGAGCAAACCTCGGACAAGTCAGAGTCTTCCCTTTGCAGCCAAAGCACCCATCAGTCACTGTGTGCTGCCAAATAATGTATCAGTGGTGTTACAAAGACTCTAGTGCTCAACAGGATTTCTTCCTAGTAATAGAAGGGTAGCACTGAAGAAGGAGAGAGTGCTGTTAGGCACTTTGAAAACAGCTGGTTTGGATACACTGACATAGCTGCCGATTTCGGTTTTCCACTTGTGTCAGAATAAAATGGCAGATTGGTGACGAGGTACCTGGCATGTTTTTGCCTTCAGTGTAGTCTGGCTCTTTAGATGAAGACTTGCTTATTTCTTCAAACTTAGGAGATGGTTGAGGACTTCTTGCTCTATTTGAAAAGCATCCAAAAGTCAAACCGCTTAGTCGCTGACACTCTCCAGGTTTTTGTGTCGAAGTAACAGATTTCTTGCCAGTAACCTCTGAAGAATAGTAATTCAAAAATCTTGTGTTAATGAGATACAACAAGCTATGCTCTCTTTACTTTGCAGTGTAAAGTTGGTTTAAGGTAATTAAATTTCAGGAAAAAAGGTAATAAAAAATTTATTATGGGAATAAAAATTTATCTGATAACTCCCCATATCAAAAGAAACCCAGAGCTACCTTTCTAGTTCTTAAAATTTGATTTTAACATAGGAAGAAAAAAAACCCTAACAATTTCACAGTACTAAAACATGCACTTAATAAAGAATGAAAACCTAGTGGAAATACCTGATTTTATGCTCCTATGACTGAAATTAAACCTATAGGTTGTTCTAGGATATTTAATTTGGAAAAGACTGTAGAACAATAGTATTAAGATATGTGATGGTCTTCCCTTTAGATAAAAATATTAAGAGGCTCTGTAATAGGTGCTACAGCAAATATAGAAGAGTAAGTTCCTAGTTTAGAAGGAGATGTGGAGGACTTCAAGAGACAGTGAAAACATAAACTGGTGAACTGCCTCAAGAATATGAAATCTGTCCTTAGGGACTGCTATTCTGCCAGAAATTGATATGAAACAATGCTGTCCATTCCTGCTCGTAAAAATCGCTGTGGCAGATCCAGGAACAAAAGGCCCTTACACATACCTGTAAACTGCTTAAAACAGTACCAAATTTCATAATTTATAGCCTGTCACCAGCATGGACATTGCAAATGGCAATAAACTTCTTAATATTTTTGAGTAACTGTTCAGTAACTCTGTGTTGAAAACCAGCTGACAATTTCTTAGGGTCTCAAAAAGCCTTTGAATAGATCTCTCAGAAGAGAATGATTAAAGCTGAAGTGTACAGAATTGCTACTGATCCAAAAATAGCAAGGAAGTAAAACAGTCCAGTTTCTTCATTAATGGAAAGGTGCAACTTAGTTTAAAAGCTTCCTATTGTATATGTATATATTTTGTAAATATTTATATTTTCATATATTATGCATATTATATGTGCATACACACACATATCTACACACGTTTCTAAATATCTGTGTATTTACGTGTATATATGAGATACATTATCAAGAGCTGAGGGGTGGGTAGCAAACTAACAAAATTTTCAGATTGTAGTAAGTTGTCAGATCAATCAAGTATGGATAGGACTGTGAACCTTCAGACAGACTTTCAAGAAAGTTGGTGAACAGGCAACATGGTGGCAAATAAAATTCAGCTCTGATTAAACTGTGATTCAATGTGAAATAATGTTCTGGGGAGGGGGTATTCCTCTTTCTTCAGTTTACATTTTATGATTTTTAAATTTACTATATCCACTTGAGGAGGAACCTGGTAATACTATGGCTGAATTAAGATTTTGGATCACTGTAATCAAATGTAGAAGAATGTGATTAGAGTTCTGATTCCCAACAGACCATTTGCTAGAAAAAGCAGATGCAGACTGACATTCATGTATTTCTTAACAGTGGTAAGACCACCTAGCTATAAAGAAGCGAAAGCAAAGATCTGTCATTAATTCAGTATAATCTTACTACTTGCAGAACCTCTCAAATTACAGAGATACCTGTTCACTCAACAAAAAACAGTTGTGGCTTTTCAATAAAATAATATAGTATTCCTTTCTAACACCTTCCTGTAAGTCACTCTGATGTCAATTCATAGTATCTGAAATCTTCGTGTTTTCACAGAATATCTTCAGTCACGTAGATGCACAAATTAACAGAGAATAGAAAGAAGTATGCCATATAGAGAGAAGTTTTTAAAAGATTTGTACATTTACCTTGCAGTTTAGATTGTACTGTTTTCATCTCTTTGGTTTGCTTTTGGTTGATCAAGCGAAGGTTCTGATTTTCCACCTCTAACTAAAAGCATATAAATGTAATCTCATCCATCAGTGAAACAATTTTTAAAGTCATTACATTGTTTAGATTTTCTCTGAATTTCTGCCTATGTCAGGATAGAACTAGTTCAAATAGTAACCTCCTCTCTGCTACTTCTCTTAATGCCAGTCCAGGCATTTGTTTATTCCGAACAATGAAATTCCCTGCAATGATTATTTGCTCAACTTCTGTTAAAATCATTCCCATAGCCAAGTAAACCCAAGACTCCTTTAAAAATCCTTAATAAATAAGAAAAAAATCTGCACTGGAATTTTTAATAAAAGCAGAGGGCTAGAATTGCAAACTTCTGTGCCACTTGGCAAACCCAAGAGCAAGCAGAGGGAATGATGGTTCTAATGCCTCCTACCATCCTACGGCAAAAATTTTTTAAAAAAAAAATATATAGGTGCCAACAAACTTTATACAGAGCAAAAGTCTTTCTACAGGAAGAAAAAAACAACAACCCATTGCTGCAGCCCACTACTGGGAGGTAAAAGATGTTGATTCAAACTCCTGCTTCAAATTAGGCAGAGACTTGAATCTCAGTATCCCCTATGACACAGAGGGGAACCATCAATTCCACCTCCCACTGAGTGACAGTCACATATGTGAAACTAGCTTGAGATTCTCAATGTTTCAAACTAAGTAAATAGTCTGAGTCATGCTTGATTTTGTCCAAACTTTTTCAGGGTAATTTTGGCTAAATTTAATGGTATTTTTATTAAATTATTTCAAAAACTCCTCTCACAGGCTAAATGTTACTTCTAGTTTCTTACTATGAAAATAATAATTTAATTGTTTTTTCAACTAGAGTGAGTATAACTTCCAGTTAACCACAACAGAGTAGGATTTTAACTTTTATGGGCAACTTTAAATTCTGCACACAAGGAGGAGAAAGCACAGCTGCACACGAAAACTGACAGCCTTAGGCAGAGCTAAGACATGGTTATCTTACCACAGCAGAGAAAAAAAGGACACAACAGGTCTCTTGAGACTAGAGCTGGTGCCTCTGAAACTATTCATGACTAAGAGTACTGTGGGCATTGTGAAATAAAAAATGATCAAGTCCTTTTTTCTGCCAGGTCCCAGCAGAGTTGGTCAGCTTTTTGGGGATTATTCACACTTCAGGCATCTGCTTGAGCAAGCTCAGTCTGCCAGCTAAGCTCTCTGAATTAGTGGAGAAGTTGACCTTTCAGAGAGCAGTTCTGGGCCCTTTCTCTATAAAGAGGACCCAGACATACTAGCTGACCAAATCAGACATCAGAATTTAAGTGACATGGACCTCTGCTTTCTGTGCCAGTGTTTTAATTTTTCCCCTTTCAAGCAAATAACTGTATAGGTCAATAAAACTGGGAAGACTTTTTATTATTTTTTTTTTTCTATGGCACAAAGGCCTTTGACAGCCAAAAAGTCTAAGGGATATCCAGTCACAACAGTATATTTTCTGTGTAAGTATTGTAGCAAGAGTTATACCTCATGAAGCTTGACTGTCACCCATTCTTTTATTTTAGCTGCTTTTTCTTCTATGATTTTTGCTTCTTGCAGTCTTATTTGCTTCTGGAAAAAATTGACATAAGCATATTTTTCACTGAGTAATATAGTCTGCCTGAGTAGTATCTTCAGACACAAATCCTAAGATTGCTTGAAGTAATTCAAGCTCCTGGGCAATATGCAAAATTGCAACAATGATTTTCAAAAAACAAGGAATAGGGCCTTCACAGAGGCTACTGTTCCTCTTTCCTCTAGGAAAAATGAAAGCTCTTCAGGGGAGACAGTGAAGAGGAAGAACCTCTTTCCCCTCTTAAAAGTTAGATGTTCTTTCAAAGGAATCCAGGGCATGATTTCCAAATGAATAAACATTATTCACATTATATACTTCTCATGGGAACCTCTTTAATCAAACAACAGAAATAATGTTTAACTTTTCTGTCCTCTACTGATCTTAAATTTTATTTTTCTTTTGTATAATTAAGAATGGAATTGATGTTCCTCTTTTGTAACACCGTTATTTCTAACCTGTTCTTCAAGCTGTTTCTCCAATTTTTGTATTATGTCATTTTTATCTTGTATCAGGATCTCCAGATCTTGACATCTCTTATACAGCCTGGTTTCTGATTCACTCGTTTGAACATTTGCTGCTTTTAATTTTTCTTCCATGACCTGCACCTATTTGGAAAGTCAAATATAAAAGTTTAAGAAACATAATACTCCAAGTCAAAGGTAGTAATCTAAACAACAAACAGACTGTTAAAGTCACCTCCACACTTAGATTCAAGTTTGCAATGCTTTGAAGCTTATTTGAGAAGAAATTCCACAGTTCATTATGGCTCCCTATGCATCTAATATCAACAGGACTGGCAAAACATCGAAAGACCTTATACAGATTTCATTAGTATCTCTAAGAGGCTTCTAGTTTTGTAACACACACTTTTAGAAATGCCAACATGGGAAGAATGCAATTTATCTACAGGGAGCTGTAGTTAGGCTTGATAAACAATGTTTTAATAAATAAACAATTGCACACTGTAAAAAACCTCAGCAGGTTATCAGCAGCATTCTAAAAAATGGCTTAAAAGTACTTGGCTTGTAGTCAGGAATGTTTTCTAACTCCAAATTAGTACATGAACATTTTTATTCTTATAATTTTCAGTTTCTATCTGTCTCAGAGTAAGATATGGGAATACCAGAGATATGTTCATAAAATGTCTACAGGAGATATATCTGCCATTTGGAATTGGAAAGCAACTTCGGTTAAATATTTAGCCATGATCTCATTCTTTAGATGATGTAATTTCTACAAGAGGAACAAACAACATAGAATAGTCCTATTTAGAGCCTGTATTGGATAGCCTTGTTTTATTTTCTTACAGATCTTATAGAATAGGTCACTGTTTTTCATGTGTGCACACATATCAAAAATTCATGGTGCATCAATGAAGAAGCTCATTACATGTAACTATTTTTGATTTGTGATGTTAGCTTTGACTTCATTGACCTGAACTGGACAGCGGGCAAAGAAAGGTGTTAGAAAATCTCTGTTAAGACAAATCAATAGATGTAAAAGAAACTGTCTTCTCCTTTTTCAGAAGAAGAAATAGTAATTTTCTGAACTTCACTTCATGCACACAGTATCACACACATAGCTGTGAGAGATATTTTACAATATACCTGCTGAAATGCTCTCTCTGCTTGACGATCAGCATCTATAACTTGTTTCTCAAGCTGCTGCATCTGTAGACATATAAAAATATATAGTAAAAAGGCCATGCCTTTCTGCCTGTTGCCAGAAGGGTATTTTCATGATCTGTTTTCAAAAAGGAAAGAACAGGTTGTGGGCAGGAGCATAAAAATAGGATAAACAGTGCATTGGACTGGAAAAAGAATTCTTCATCATGGCTGTATTAAAACATTGTAAAGACTCCTCTACAGAAAAAAAAAAAATCAAGTCTTCTTCATAGTATAATTTTGTGGCTGTTATATGACATACTGTTTTTCTTCTCTGCTATCAGGAGTAGAAATTCCTTCGTCAATAGCCCTGAAACTTTCCTCATGCAGGCCCAGAGTCTTAGAAAGTACTAAGCTCCTTCATGTCCTTCCAAAATTGGCAGGAGTAAAGGGTACTTGGCACATAATACAATTTGGACACTAATTCTTCTGAAGTTGACAAAGTCAGCTCTTTGGACAAATATGCTACGAGGCCTATCCCAGACTTTTCCACCCTCTGCATGATGAAGGCAGGATGTGGCAGAAGGGTCACAGGTCACAGTGGACTGAGGTGCTCCACAGGAGCAATGCATGAAGACAGAAAACAGTGTGACATGGAGGAGTTCAGGTCACCTCTGAGTGGGGGGAGACCCCGATCTGTTACTTTATAATGTCACCTAATGAATCACAGGCTCAACCTTTGCCCAGGGCCTTGGAAAACCCCTGCATTTTACATTATTTATTTTGAAGGCTTTCCCAACAGAATATGGAACAGAAGAGGCCAGAGAGATATACTTTGTTTACATTTTGTTATGTTTTGTTAAGAGCTCTCTAATCTAATTTTAGTGACTTTTAAAAAAAGTAAACTGTGTAACTGTTAACTGAAGTAACACTTAAAAGTGCATAAGGTACTCCATGATTTAAGGACTTGCTGGTTCTCAGGAGAGACCTAGCTGAGACCTCAGTTCACCTGAAGAAGATTCAAAATCAAATAATTAACAGGGGATACTCAGTATTCAGATTGAAAATTGTTCATAGAAAAGCATACGATACAAATAATGCAAATGAAAACCATTTATTCCTTCTCCAGTTTACTGCATGGCTTTAAAAAAATCAGTTTCATCCTGTCCTGTTTTTACTTTATTTCTGGCATCTTTCGGTTTCTTTTTCACTCTCCATCTCTTTTTTTTTCTCTTGCCAGTTATGTTGTCAATCACATGGAACTTTTAGCACCTCATCCAGACAAAGACACAGAGTCATCATTTTGTATCAATCAATAACTGAAAATGGAGAAAATGGGTTTTCACAAACATTAAAAAAAAAAAAAAAGACTGGCTTTCTAGTACTTTCTCATGCAATACAAAACCCCAAACTCTACATCATAATACCATAACACACCACTGATACAAGAGCAACAAACATTTCACAATCCACATGGTTATGGTCAGGTCCCCGGTGAGTTGTTTTGCAAGAACACTTCTAAGGATATGATCCTCCCAGTCATTCATGTGCTAACAGTCCAGGCAGATGGACAGGGAGATAAGCTTTCTTTGTTCCCCTCTGGCCACATGTATTTAATTTCATATTTATATGACTTCATATGGAGATTTTAACTTTGAGTTTAATTTTTAGAATTTTGAATTCCAAGGTTGCTGTCCATCTGTCTTTTCTGGTTTTACATTCAAATAGAAGTGGGGTTTGCAAGACTTACTTTAATATAGTTTTTCTGATATTTTTTAGTGAGTTGAGGATTCAGAAATCAAGGTTATTTCTGCATATATGGTCAATTAACATTCTACTGTAGTAAAAGTACTATGTTAAACTAAGTGCAGCTATTATATCAATAATGAACTAATGTTCTGTAATATTATGACTCTTAATGTTGTAGAATATTATGAGAGAAAAGTCCTTCAGATATTTATAATGTGAAGTTCATCATTGATGAATAGACAGTTTTCCATCAACTTTCACAAACAAACAAGTTGTAAATGTGACTGACAATTCATTTATGTCCTGTACATACTTTCACCTGTAAAGCAATATCAGAAACCTAACAAATTTAATAAATGAAATTAAAACCTCAAAATGTTGCTTGCCAGGTTCACTCTGCTGCCACTGCAGCTCAGCTAGCTCCAGCTCAGCTTAAACCTGAAAACAACTAGTCTCTCTAGCAATATCTAGTTATCACTGAGTCGCTGTACAAGCATTTAAGCAGTAGTGTTGCTCTTCTACACAACGGTTCAAGTTCTGGATAATACAGTGCACTAAAGACCTAAGTTCCTTCTATGTTTGCACACTGAAACTACACAATGCACCTCTTGCTAGGAATATATACTGTTGCGCAGGACTAGCAACATAATAGCATATTCATGTAGACAAAGAATATGATTTGAATAAAGCTGTTGCTAAGGTGAATGTAAAGCTAGGAGCCAAAGAAGCTGAGAGAATTACCAAGAGAAAGGTCATTCAGAGATTAAAAATGGAAGAACAAGGTTTATTTTTGCTTCTTTTACAGTTAACTGTAATTTCAAGAAGGTATGCTAAGAAGCTTTGCATGGTCTCACCATACAGATATGTTAATCAGCTTCCGGGCAACAACCAAATGTGAGATTTTGTTTGCAAAATTTTTAAGGGTCTTGAATTTATTTTGGGAGACTCCTGTAAAAGAAAGCAATCTATATTATTCAGCAAGAATGGAATACTATAGTTACCAAATGGGAGCACTTCTAGTAAAGTTAAATTGGCCGGCATTTCAATAATTTGATGCTACATAATAATTACTGAGTCCTGATTTTCCCTTTATTTAGAGTTTATATAGACTTGTTTTGCAGAGTCCTGTAATAATAAAGAAACTTAAAAAATATATTTCCCCCATATGCATAAATAATCTCTAAACAATACACAAAGTGGTTTGGCCTGAAAAATTAGATTTACATCTATATTCTGACTGCTTTGCTTCTTTATAGGTCTGTGAAGTTAAACAGAAAAAATGATTGCTTTAGGATATTATTTATTTATTTATTTATTTATTTATTCTTTATTATTGCTTTAGGATATTCTGAAGGCTATAAAACTTGTAGGGCAAAAGACTGGAACTGGTTCCAAAGGAAGGATTTCTCTTCAAAAACAAAACCTAACCTAAAACCTTCTTAAATTGGTGGTGAGTTTAATAACAATGATCACAGCACTACTGAGAGAGAGATGAGAGAAGGTGAATATTTGTGATTGGGTTAATAGCTAATTGTTTAAATCAAGTTATGCTTTGAACTTGTCAAGAATGAAATGCAGTGGTAAATCCCCCTTACTCAATGACTGTGAAGACAATTTCAGACCATGGATTGATAGCTTATCCTTAAATAAAAATGGAAAAAAGCCAACTTAAACTCACAATGGAGGTGGCAGGTAACTGCCACATTTAGAGGCAAAGGTCAAGTGTGCTCTATGTATGCAGAACTCTTACCTATGGCTGCATCCTGAATATTGATGACTAACTCTGACTTTATACGGAACATGATTTGAAAAACAGAAAAGTCTGTTGATTTATACCTCTGTCCCAAAAACTTCTTTCTAGATACATCTATGGAAATTTCCAGCATCACTGGGTCGAAATGTTATGTATCAGCTGATAGGCTAGACATTGCTTGAATGAACTACAGTCTGTAAAGTGAACAGACATAAAGTTGGCTTCCCAGGGCAAACATGCAGGGCCATCATATCATTGATAACATCTGGCAAGAGAAGTATATTCAAGCTTAATTTTCTATAGTGTCCTGGATGAGGTAACTTTAAATAAAGAGGTTCAACAAACCTCTTATAAGGAATATTCTTGTTACCCACATCAGATTGGTGCAAGTTCTTCCCAAAATTCATAAAGAAATCCAGAGATGTCCTGTCATAATATATACTGGTTTTGATTTTACAGTTTTAAATATAAAGAAAAAATGTTTTAAGCCCATGACAAAAAGTACATGCATGCTGACTAAAGAACACTATCATTACAGAAGAACAGACTGCTATTTTAACCTGCACTTTCTCCTTCTCTCTTTAGGTGAAAAATCCTCTTACAATTTTCAGAAAATGCATTAGTGCATGCTGCATCAATTATCTAAGCTATAGAAAACAGTATCTATTGTTAGAAACAGATTTGTTTTTAAACTTACTATGGAAATAACCACTCTACATCTGACACTCATCAAATTGAGCTATTTTTGTTCAAAAACGAACAGAGAAATGCCACATATGAATACTGAATTCTTTGAAGAAACATGGCAGCAATAAAAACCAAGAGGTGTACTGCCTTGGAGGTCTGGGCATTGAAGCACAACACATAGTTGCTGGGAATTTTGTACAATACAAAGGCAAATCATACAGTGATTCTTTTTCAAAGGTCACCTGTAAGTTTCTTGACTGTATTCAGAAATGTTTAACATATATATTTTTATGCAAGTAAAGAAATTTTCATTTGATTAAAGTACGTATTGCATGAAAACACCAAAGGGTATAAACTCAAAAGTCATCACTCACAGATTTCAAAAATACTCCTTCTGTATGCATATATATGTATATTATAAATGTATGTTATGTATAAGAACAAACTCCTAATTTTTTATCCAAGTCAACTTTCAATGTAACAGCTTGTCCTATTCACGTTTGAAATTTACATTATAATCAGTACATAATACACTTCCTCCTAGTTTTTAATATTATAAACATCACAGTTGCATCAGATAGAAAAGGTGGAAATCTTTTGAAAAAAATATAGGAAAAAATATGATCATTAATGAACAAAGAGAAAAACATCTTTTCTCTGTATGCTGATAATAGGTCCAAGTTTTTAAAAATGAAAAATGAGTTAAAACCTAATGTGTCTGAAGCAGAAATACAGTCTGTCTATTGATGAGCTGCAGAACTTCCACTGATTTGACAATGGTATGTTTAGAGTCTGTTTTTTTCCTTGTATTTCAAATTTTCAATTCTTCTCATCTGAAAAAAAAATCCCAAACCATCTGTGGTTGTAAAATAATGTC